AACAAGTAAAAAAATGCCAGTCTCTAACAAGTTGTTACAACTTGGGTGGGGAATGTTACAGCAGGATTCCGTTGTTAGGAAAGTTTTCCATGAGACCACCTAGACACCTTTAACTTGTCACTTCCATAAAGTTTCCATCTCAAATGGAACACTAACTGAATCATTTCCTCTGATTCAAAGTTGCCAGTCAAAATTTCTCAGTTTACCCCGACATAGAGATCTTGGTGAAGATTATTGGGTTTAAATCCCTCCTATTGTCCAAATGATAAGCATACACAAAACTGTCACACCTCATTGATGCACTCTGGTCCATCAAAAGACACCTTGCCCATTGCTGGTGTCACCGGGTACCATACCTGGTGATTAAAAATTTTAGCATCCAATAAATGTACTTTGAATGTTTCATACTCATCAATAGTAAATAGTAAATGTTAGGCCTCTCATTTGTAAAGTTCAACAACCACTTACCAAATCTGGACCTTCATATGGTTTAAGTAATGAATCAAAATTGGAAGTTGAAGAACCACTTAGCCATGAGTCGGTAGATCCCTTGTCACCCAAAATAACAGGCATCCTGTCTGTAATGATAAATTAATACTACACAACTTTGGCAAAGAGTGCCACAACAGGAACGCACAAATGAACTAGTGGGAGCAAAGGATTCCACTTAACACTCTTAACAAGTTTGTGGGGCCAAAGAAATGTAACTACAAAAGTACAAATTATCAGATAAACTGATAGAAAAGAAATTATAGATCAATAAAGTAATGCATAACCTATAGCAGTATCCAGACATATTACAGTATTAGAAAATAAATTATAGATCAATAAAACTGAGCAGGACCCACCATGCAGCCACCCTAGAGCTGAAGATGAAGACGTTGTAATGATAGTGAAGGTGTAAAGTTTCTCGCCTGCAGGGTAACATGCAGTGGATATATCATTGCCTAGATATAAACAAACTTCATTTCAACACATATTGATGAACAAATTTCAGATAAAATTAATTTTAATGAAATTTAATATCACCTAGACCAAAACAAATACAAACATAACAGCAAAACAAATTAACAGAAGTTTTGGTGGTGGGGAGGGGAGTTTACTAACAAAATGTTTGTCACTATCTACCTTCAGAGTTCTCCCAAGAATCATAAAGAGCAGCAAACAGAAGCGGTCGGCCGTCATTAAAGTGGACGTAGTAAGGCTGCTTTTTAGAACCATCTTTTTTCCATTCATAAAATCTGGCCAATGCCAAATAAATAAATTTATAAAATAAAATAAAAGAACTTCAAGCATTGAATAGAAAGAATAAAAAGGAAAGATTCACAGAGTCCTCCAACAAGACAAAAATTGAAAAGATGTCAATCATTGATAGCACAAAACATACCCTTCAACTGCAATGAGGCAGCGGTTTTTAGGAATTAGACGTCGAAAAGAGGCCTTTTCGCAAATGGACTCAGACCTAGCATTAAACTGCAATTTTTTTTTCAAACACAAATCACATCTCAACGCAATCCAAGCTTACTTATATGGAAAATCAAGATTGAAATTTTAAGAAAGACAACAAATTTAAACTACCATCACTGGAAAGCATCAACCACAAATGTAACTGCTATTACCATCTTATAGTGATCGGGCTTCTCGGTTTTCTTGGTGAAACTAGGGATCAGCCCCCATTTCATACAGTGAACAACAACGCCGTCGCCGTCTGCTCCGTCTTCTCTACGAACAACAGGCAAATTCGACCCCGGCGACGCATTGAACAGCGGGCGAAACCTAAGCACATACCAAAAAATTCGTTCCAATCAGTAAGATTAAGCAATCGAAGAGACCATAACACGCAAGGAAATCTGTTTGGTTGCTAGGACTAGGAAAGTAGGAGAAAAGTAAAGTTCGAATTAGAAATTAGTAAAGCAAAAAAAAAGGAGGAGTTTTGAGTTTTGCTCACCGGTCCATGTTAACAGTACGGACGGGGCCATGGATGCGGTGGCAAGCCCTAGGGATGTCGTCGGCTCTGACAGTACAGCGAGCCCTCCCACACATTTTCTCCAAGAAAGTGAACCAGGGCGGGAAGCGACTGTTCTGTGCGCGGTGACTTTTTCTCCGTACCGCACTAGCTATTAGCCTACTGCTGGAGTAACTGGTGACCGTTGGATATCAACTGAGATCGAGATTCGAGTTCCTCCCACACCCTGGCAGTTTTCGCGGTTTCCAAATGTTTGATGCTCTGATTTAAACACGTGTAATGGATCGTTACGACTTTCGAAACATTAGTAGTTGCGCTGGGAGGGGTTACTGTCTTTTCCAGCCCAATTGGGTCTGCCCAATCCAATTTAGAGGTTTGGGCACGACTTTTACCAAGTCCGGTATAATTCATGGTAAACTAAAAAATTTCGGCCCAAATTGGGTAAAAGTAAACCACATAGGCAATTTGGTTCAATTTCCTCCTCTTCTAATAGCGTTTATATAGAAAAAAAACCCTTACTCTCCATTGTTAAGCGATTTAAAAGAAGTGGGACCCACACCACGTAATGGAAAGTCTCTTAATACTGACGGAACGAGTAACGTAAAACAGTTTTTAAAAGTGTAGGTGGTATTTTGAGATGTTTCAAAGCACATGTGATAATATAAGACAACTCTGAAAGCACAGGAGGCATGTATATAAATAAGACCAAAAAAAAAAATTTGTAACCAAAACAAACTAAACTACAACTTACAATTTGGAGACCGACTTCATCAAAAAAATTGTATCGAATTACTTTTTTTTTCTACTCTTAACTTTATAATCTGGATTTTATCAGAATTTGTAGTAATATTGCATTTCATACTTCATAATACCATTATAATTTTTAAACTAAAATTTCTTAACTCATCTAAATTCATTAGCATCTTTGACATGAAGTTTTCTCGATATAATTTAAATGTGTAGTATGAAGTGGCATTTGATATATGCTAGAGATGTAAAAGAGGATTTGTTTGAGAGTGATTCTAGATAAATCAATCAAACCAAAATTAGTGGAGATTAGTTTTGACTCCTTTTCTTTAAGTTTAAATATAAATTGAGCAAACAAAAAAAAGATTTTGAATTGAAATCTTAGGATTCGTATAGTGTGTGTGAGTTTAATATATCATCAATCATCTTAATAAGAAAGATCCTAAAAAAAAATATTCAATTAAATTGGACCGTAATTATAAAAAGTTATCGATAATAAAATTTTTAAAACTGGTTTTGTCGGACTGGGTTGCCCTCGAATTAGTAGCACTGACGCTGTAACACTACTCAGCACCAAAGCCGCGAACTGTGCTTCCCAAATGCTCACCCTCGCAAAACAACTCAAGAACTCACCTTCATGCTTCCAATCCGCCGTCAGCCAAATACGGTGGGTCCGGACTGAGTCCGGCCTGTCCCGGCTTCGGCAAAGGCACAAGTCTCCGGCCCTGGCTATGAGGAAGTCGGAGGAGAAGTCCGAGTGGCGGATAGTCGACGGCGAAATCCACGAGAACGGTGATCACGTGCCTCCACATGAGCGGTTCGTCATTCCCAGAGATAACATCCCCAACAAGCGTCGAAAGCATTTCAGAGAACAGTTCATGCGCCGCACTCGCCTTATTCTCAACGAAACGGTCAATTCAGAATCAGTATAGCCTAGTATAGCAGATCGGCTATACCCCTTCTTAAAAATTTTAAACAAATCGTATAGCCAGACGGCTATACTCGGATTTTCTAATTTTTTTATAAAGGAATAGTATAATCGAGCGGCTTTCAAATTTTTTTCGAGAAATAGTATAGCCGGCTTCTATACTCGGTTCTTTAATTTTTTTTTAAAATAGTATAGCCGTTCGGCTATACTCCGTTCTGCTAATTTTTTAGAGGAATAGTATCGCCGGGCGGCTATACTCTGGTTATTTAAATATATTTTTAAAAATGCAAATATTATAGCCGTCGGCTATACCCGGTGTAAGAAATAGATTTATGGCCGTTCCCATGCCATTTTAACTATACAATTAACCCAGCTTAACTCAAACACAATACAAAAACAAATGTGTGAATTTGAGATCAAGCCAAAGTAGTGAGAGAAAAAGTATGATTTACCAAAAATGAGAATAGAGACCCAGGAATAGCCAATCATTTGCATACCTCATGTAGAATAGAAATCATAGCCATGTTTGTTTTGCCAGCTCCTGCTGGGGCACGAACCTGCAAGTAAATGGAAATCACGTTCAAGCATATCATATCAGCACTTTCACTGCAATGGTTTGGTATTCATATAATCAACATCATCATTAACTAACTAGCATATTTTCATAGTGTAATAAATAGTATGAAATATGCGGCTCTGAATACAGTTCAGAGAATTATGTCCACGAAAAGCAGCTTGTGCGAATTCATCTAACTCCGTTGTCTCAATCTCACAGCATAAGACAGTAAACAGAAATTGCAATAACAGAATTAGGGGTCAGTAGGTGATAAAAGAAATAGCAAGCAAGGACAATCCTATTTGTTTAACCACCAGAAAATGCGCAAATTATTATGGCTAGTTTATACACTGATAATGTTAATGATGGCAATGATAAATTCAAGTAGAATGATGGAACTACAAATGGGTACCAGCTTTTCCCCAGGTTTTCATTTGTGCTGTTGGTGTTAGGGGTGTTGACGTGAGTCTCCTTACTTCGTTGATTAATTAATGAATTTACTTTCTTATTTTTTATATAATTGATATAAAACATGGGAAAAAGTTACTACAAAGAAAAATACTTGAAATGAAACGCTAGGCCTCTAAATCTAACTCTTCCCCCTCCTCTCCATATCCCTCCAAGACTAGGTTTTATAAAAAGTCATGAGAAAAAAAAAAAAAAAAAAGGACCCAACCCGCCTAGCCCGCCTAGGCGGATTTTATTATATTTTATTATTTATTATTTGTTGGACGATTTTTTGAACACATAGATAGTAACTCGGTTCTGTTTTTATCTTATCCAAACCCTGAAAATCCACCAAACTTGCGCCGATATAGCAGATACTTTGAATTTTCTCCTTCCCGTTTTACTCACAGTTGACAAACTCAAAAGAGCTTCTCAATCTTATTGACTCTGAGTCTGATTCATTGGCCCTCCCTCTCATCCTCAAATACAAATTCATTCTTCACCAGGGACGATGACTTTCGGCAAGCAAAACACGTTTCCGGAGTCGTTTGGCCTCCTCGACCCTATCAGTTAATGCTAACAATGGTGTGCCAGCTTGGTTTTCACTTCTGATGTGTGAAAATTTGTTCTGATGTTACAGGTACCGTCTGGGCAGATGACTTGGATACGCAGTGGTCCCAAGTGTTTGAATGCTAAGAATATCACAGAGGCCATTGACAGCAGGTTTGCTAAAGCAAACAGTCTGTAATTTTTCTTCTGTTTAAACGCTTCGTGTTATGCTGTGCTGAGTGATGAGTTATGTAATGTTAAAATGCAGCTTAAGACGATTGCAAACAGATTGCAATTTGCATTGATCATTGGCCTGATCGGTACGTAGATAATAAGTGTTTTCGAATTTTGCTTTCACGTTACTCTAAATTTGCAGATTGACATGAATCTGCCCCTCTGGGTGAGAAAATGATGGCCATACTTTCACTGGTTTTGTTTCAATGTCATGTTTACGTCTTATTGGTATGATGCCCAGTGGTTATTAATATTTTTTTTAAAGTCAATATATTACTTTTGATTAAGTGTATGCATGCATGCTTGGATGTGGGGGTATATACAAGCCTGGGCTTCTGCATCTGTGCCATAGCAGTTCATGAATGTCTGCAGTACTCCTTGTTCTAAAAGGAAAATTATTTTGAAAATTATCTCTAGTTCCAGCATTTGGTCTCTTTACAGCATGTTGTATTTATCGAATAATGCCCGTCGCATGTTGATTCACTAATCTGCTTGTATTTCCATTCACAGGATACATTGATATTGCAGGGAAGTACAGTGTTCATCCAGTATCTCTTGCAATAGGTTCGACACCTCTCCCTCCAATTCTTTATAGTTTCTTCAGTGAACAATTTGGTCTGAAACTCAATAACCAAACTTCTTAAATTGACTGCTCCTTCTCCATCTTTTGAAATTGATGATTTCAATCTTTTGAGAAACTATATCTGGAAGCTTTCTTTCGTGTATGTCACAGACTCTCAGTACAAATATACACGAGGGAATTGTTTATCAAGCCTAAAAAAGATGCAAATTTTTTCATGTTCTTCCCTTCCAACAATGACACACACAATAATCAATGGAACCCATCACAGAGCCTTTTTGAGTTCCTAGTGATCATTAAAAGGTTCCCAACCCTCAGCAGTATGCAAAACTGAAGATTATGACCCCACTTTCAACCTAACCCTCTTCATCACGCAAAACCAATTGATGATATTGGGCTATCTAAAGATGCAAAGAAGATGGGAGGGGTTCAGAAAGAGATAGATAAGTACAGAGACTTTCTGGTTATTGATGTCAATGAAGACTACGTGAAAACGTAAGAGTCATCGGTTTTTATTGAACTTTTTGTCATGTTAATGGCTTTGCGGTCTTGGAAGTTTATGTCATATTGGTTTCTCAAGCTATTTTGTAGGTTCGGCATTTTTGAAAGCAGAATTTCAACTTTTAAAAGCAGATTATTATGTCAAAGCAGATGATGACATTTATTTGAGTCCATGTATATATATTGTAATGCCAGACTATATACTTTCATTAAGCTGTGAATATGAGTATCTTGGAATTTACTGATATTTTCATAATTTGTTAGATCGACTAGCAACACTTCTAGACAAGGAGAGAACACATTCACAAACCCATATTGGATGCATGAAGAACCTAAAATGAAATGGTATATGGGTATTAAAATTGTTATAAGAGCTTTTACCTTTGTGATTGATTTTATTCTTTTTTTTTATCTGGTAATCTATCCATTAATTTATTATTCAGGTATGAGAAATCAGGACATCTAATTGGGAGTGAATACGTTCGGCATGCTTATGGTCCTATATATGTCCTGTCTGCAGAGGTGGTAGCACCGTTGGCAATTGCTAGAAATAACAGGTCAACCACCTGTTCTGTATCTGCTTTGTTTATCTTAGTCCATTGTTTCTTTCAATTATCTTCTAAAAGGCAAGCTGGGGCAATATTTCCTTTTATGCTAATCTTTGATAAGACCATATTCTTATGTTCTGGTCTGTGATCTACATATCAATGTGACATGTAGGAAAGTTATTGGTTGAGTTCGAGAATAAAAGCACTTTAAAGCTAGGCAAGGATGATCCTTCTTTTCTTGGAATAGTCCATACCCTTTGGCATGGCATTTGTTGAGTCATTTGGTGAAGGAATTGTGGTGAAACCCCATCAGGTGCCTTGGATTCAGACAAAGGCAAGGTCATTCAAGAGATTGCGAGGACACAACTACGTTCACCTTGAGTCACAGTATGTTGAGTTACAGGAAAGGTACAAAAGTTTTTGGTATAGTGGCCGACTGTATTTTGGATCCAAATGATGTATGCATACTTTTGTAGCGTACTGGTTGAATATTTGGCATGGCATAGTTTTGAATAGGTGGGGCAACTAATAGTTTCCTTGCTTTATTTTGCAAGCTGATGTCTTTAATTAACACCAGCACATATGACATTACAGCCGTCCCCATGCCATTTTAAGTACGCAATTAACCCAGATTAACTCAAACACAGTACAAAAACAAATGTGTGAATTTGAGATCAAGCCAAAGTAGTAAGAGTAAAATTATGATTACTAAAAAAGAGAAATCATAGCTACGTTTGTTTTGCCAGCTCCTGCTGGAGCACAAACCTGAATGGAAATCACGTTCGAGCATATCATATCAGCACTTTCACTGCAATGGTTTGGTATTCATATAATCAACATCATCATTAACTAACTAGTATATTTTCATTAGTGTAATAAATAGTATGAAATATGCGGCTCTGAATACGGTTCAGAGAATTATGTCCACGAAAAGCAGCTTGCGCGAATTCATCTAAATCCGTTATCTCAATCTCACAGCATAAGACAGTAAACAGAAACTGCAATAACAGAAATAGAGGTCAGCAGGGTGAAAAAAGAAATAGCAAGCAAGGACAATCCTATTTGTTTAACCACCAGAAAATGCGCAAATTATTATGGCTAATTTATACACTGATAATGTTAATGATGCAATGATAAACTTCAGTATAATGATGGAACTAAAAATGGGGCACCAGCTTTTCCCCAGGTTTTCATTTGTGCTGTTGGTGTTGGGAGAATTACCTCCTCATATCCCTTATGATGCTTCCTCTCAGTTCCACTAGGAAGAGCACTAACTGATAAAGATTAAGGCCCTTCACTAAGCGCTAAGAGATTCCATATGTTTTTCTTTTATGAAGAAAAGGGGAAAACCCCCAGACACCAAACCCCAGGACTCTCCTCAAAAAAACAGCAGCCCAGATTCAAGTTGTGACTCCAAGTAGCCAAACAATCAGCCACAGCATTCCTCTCCCTATATACACGCTGAAGCTTAATCCTTCCAAACAAATTCATGAGCCTTTTACAGCTACTAACTGATTCTATATGTTTTTTTTATGAAATACTGGGTTTTTTCAAATTTCTTTTTCCCTTTCAAAGAAATACTCGGTTTCTATAATTCTTTCAAAAGAAATAATATAGCCGAGCGGCTATACTAGGTTTTTTCAAATTCTTTTTGTAAAGAAATCATATAGCCCCTGGGCTATACTCGGGTTTTTATTTTTTTTATTAAGGAACAGTATAGCCGGTCGGCTATACTCGGTTTTCAATTCTTTTAAACGAAATAGTATCGCCGCGCGGCTATACTCGGTATCTCTAATTATTTTAACGAAATAATATAGCCGCGCGGCTATACCCGGTTTTTCAAAAATTTTTAAAGATATAGTATAGCCGTCGGAATATACGCGGTTCTTTTATTTTTTTAAAGAAATAGTATAGCCAGGCGGCTATACTTGTGGTTTTTTTTCCCAAACTCAAATCACATCTCAACGCAATCCAAGCTTTGCTTATATGGAAAATCAGGGTTGAAATTTTAAGAAAGACAACAAATTTAAACTGCCATCACTTGGAAAGCATCAACCACAAATGTGACTGCGATTACCGTCTTATAGTGAAACTGATCATCCCCCATTTCATACAATGAACAATAAGCCGCCGCCGCCGCCTGCTACGTCTTCTCTACAAACAACAGGCAAATTCGACATCGGCGACGCATTGAACAGTCGGCGAAACCTAAGCACATACCAAAAAATTCGTTCCAATCAGTGACATTAGGCAATCAAAGAGACCATAACGCGCAAGGAAATCTGTTTGGTTGATAGGAAAGTAGGAGAAAAGTAAAGGAAAAAAATAGGAGGAGTTTTGAGTTTTGCTCACTGGTCCCTAACAGTACGGACGAGGCCATGGTTGCTGTGGCAAGCCCTAGGGATGTCGTCGGCTCTGAGATTACAACGAGCCCTCCCACACATTTTCTCCAAGAAATTGAACGGTCAGTTCAGAATCAGTATCGCCGCGCTGCTATACTCGGTTGTTCAAATTTTTTTTAAAGAAATAGTATCGTCGCACGGCTATACGCGGTTTATTAATTTTTTTTTAAAGAAATAGTATAGCCAGTCGGCTATACTGGGGGTATTTAATTTTTTAAAAGGGAATAGTATAGCCGTGCGGCTATATTGTTAAAGAAATGGTATAGCCGGGGCTATACTCAGCTTTCCTACTTTTACCGATGAATAGTATAGCCGGCCGGCTATACGCGCTTTTTTTTTCTTTCTACTTTTTTTGTTTTGTCAAACCGGGTTTCCTTCAGATTACTAGTACACAGTACTCGGCACCAAAGCCGCGAACTGTGCTTCCCAAATGCTCTCCCTCGCAAAACGACTCAAGAACTCACCTTCATGCTTCCAGGCCGCCGTCAGCCAAATCCGGTGGGTCCGGACCGAGTCCGGCCCGTCCCGGCGCCGGCAAAGGCACAAGTCTCCGGCCTTGGCTATGAGGAAGTCGGAGGAGAAATCGGAGTGGTGGATAGTCGACGGCGAAATCCACGAGATCGGCGATCACGTGCCTCCACATGAGCGGTTCGTCATTCCCAGAGATAACATCCCCAACAAGCGTCGAAAGCAGCTCAGAGAACAGTTCATGCGCCGCACTCGCCTTGTTCTCAAGGAAACGGTCAGTTCTTTTTTTTCTCTTTCACAAATTGTGTGGTTTGGAAATTGGGTTGTTTGGTGTTTTTGTAAATATGGTTTTACTCTTTTGCATTGAAAGGAACATGAGCCTTGGTGCAAAAGGTACATGGAACTCTACCAGGAGCTTCGAGAAAATTGGGAGAGGCTGTATTGGGACGAGGGTTACACCAAAAAAATTGCCATGGACCATGCGAATTACGACTCTGCTGAAGATGATGACCATGATTTCTCTCCGTACAGGTGTTTCTGCTTGACCAATTTCTGGGATTGTTTTCAGTATTTCAAGAATTAATATGAAAGAAGAGAAGTTAATTGAAAATCCCAACTGATTTATTTGTGTACAATCTCACTTTCCATTGTGTTGTATTATGACATCCAGGCCCTGATTTTACTCTGTTTCGCTTGTGTTTCAGGAGCAAGCGGTCCCATAACGAGCCTTTCAAGGTACGAATTTGATACAATCAGTTTTGGACCTGATAGATAGATGATATAGCTCTGAAGATAGTTACATAATTACATGGGTTCTCTGTGCACCTACACCTGAATAATTACACGTTAGGAATAATAAGTAGGCAGCCCCACATTTCACATAGTTTTCCATTATCAGCAGAGTTCTATACATTCATATAACCTGCAATCCTGAACCTAATATATTGTTTGTATTATCTTCAGAAGTTTCTTCTTTGTGTTGTTGTGAATGTTATTTTTTCTCTCTGTCCGCATGCGGTAAATGAAGCCATTCCAAGCAAACTTTGTAACCGAAGTAAATAGGATTTTGTCATCGAATAGCCAGTTCAATTAATTTGATCAGTCACCTAGTAGCCTGTTAACACTTGTACTTCATCATGTCATGGTTCTCTAGATTCCTTGTCATGCTCTTGATTATTGATGTGACACCATGATTTTTTTGGGGTGTAAGATACCCAGTAGACATGGTACTACTTACTCTACAAGAGGGTTGCTTGTGATATCTCTTGATTTAGATCTATTTTAGTGCTTTGGTCCTTTGGTTATTTATGTGTGACTCTTCACTCAACTGACTTGATTTTGTTGCAGGACAATGGTTTTGGAAACAGGCAAGGCGATACCTGGGAAAAGGTCAACCAGATTCGAGATAAGTTTGAGTATGACAGAGAAAGGAGAATGAGAGAGAAAGGTCAGTTGAACGTAGTTTGACAAGTTTTGTGTTGTGAACTTTTGCTTTTGTGATTTGGTTTTCAGATTAAAGTTGGCCCGTTGTACTACAGTAGTTGAAGAATGTTCTTTTACAGATTCTCTATCAATATCTTCGATTGTAGATTGAGCACGGTTAGATTATTTGGTATTCATTAGTTGGATTCTCCAGGTCTATGCTCAAGTCTTTTTTAGATTGCTATTTTTGAAAGGGCTAGAACTTCAAAAATTATGTTGATTGACAATTTAGTGTGCTAAGAATTCCAGATTTTGACTATTGATCCATTCTACATATTGTAGCCACTAGAGAGCTGACTATTCACATTTCTATTTCTTGCAATTTGAGAAAGATGGTCATATGAACATACAATTTGCAAACTGTGTAAAAGGATGATGTATTTCAAATTGACATTTAAATATGCCCTAGATATGCTAATCTTCTTTTTCCTCATTTCCTTTTCTGTTCAATAATTTCAGTTGGAAAATTGTCTAAAGTGTGCAGTTCTCATTAGTTTCATGTATTTGAGTTGCAGCATTTGCACCCATGTCTGGAGAACGTGCTTCTTCTAACTTCCATGATATGAACTCCCGGAGACAGCCATTTGACACCCACAGATACTTCCCAGATAATGAAAGAGAGTGAAGAACTGCAAATGGGTTCTATGCACTTGTATATGTATCATGACTCACGAGAGGCTCGGAATGGTGCTCCATTTCCATTTCATCTCTTCCTCAACCGTCACCGTGACACTTCTGACATCTATCCTACTACTAACATCAGGCAGCTTAATCTTGTAACCGTTGGCATTTTTGAATTGACTGGTATTGTGCTTCCAAAATGCATAGGAATTTTGAGATTTTGCACAAAATGTTGGGAGAAGCGAAGGGGTTTAGGCTTGAGAACCATGAGTGTTGCTTGACGTTGTCATATGTTATGCAATATACATGGGAACAAAATCTTTTGATGATGCTTTTGTTTGTTTTGTAGCTCTATAAATTTTTTGTATGATCGGTTTTATTTTAATTAGAAATAGTATATTCTAAGTGAGAACAGCAATTTTAATTTTCTAATTTTCATAATTAAGATTGATTTGATCTTATAATTACGAATTTTGTAAAGCGTCTTTAGCTGCCAAGCAGTTCAAACTTTCATGTCAATTGAAAACGAAGCGAAAAGGA